AGGCATCTATCCTGGTGGTGGTAAGAGAACCACCGGGATTGAGGCTTGCCTGGCGGGCCGCTCCATCTATTGGTGGGGAGCAACACCTGCTGGAAACCGGGTCCAGCGTCCCTTAAATACATCTTTATACGCAGTACGTTTTAAAGGTGACGCCTTTGCACAGTCTCCTTCTCTCAATTGCAGCCCTTTTCGAAGGATGCTATACCATTGGAGAGGAAAGCTTTCAATGAGTTCGTTTAGCGCCGATTCCATGAGATGGCAGTAGCGTAACCATGCCCGCATTCTTTCTGAACTCTTCCAACATCTTGCCTCTATATCCCACAGATCCCCTACCCTGCTAGCACCATGTTTAACCCAACCTTTCCAACTTCAAGGGGTGTCTGAGCTGCATCTTACCTGGCCCAAGGCATCCGTAATCAGTCGATTCCCAAACAGCGGTTGTCTGAAGATTTCTTCCCATCGATCCGGATTGGGTCGGTCGGGCGGCGGGAGCTTCCTCCATGTGCGAAGTAGGCGCAGCCAATGTGTGCTCGCAGGGTTCCCATTCTTATCTTTCCTTGGGAGCCTCCAGTATCTGTCTTGTAGCCATACCAGGGGGTCAGTCTCCGGGGGGGCCTGTGGTGCTAGGGCAGCGATTTGCGCCAGAGCCAGGGGGGACCAAGGGGAGGACGGAGAGAAGATAATGTGTTGTAGCCAGCGAAGTGTAAGGGTCTGGGATTGAGTGGCCGGGTCCACAATTCCTAATCCACCTCTGGTCTTGGGCTGGATCATAGAGTCCCAGGCTACTCGACTAATTGCGTGGGGGGTATTACTGTCCCTCTCCAAAGGAAAGTTGCTAGCTGTTGTTTTAGTGACCTAAGCCCCCCGTCGCTCATGGGCCATATGATCGATTTGTACCAAAGTGTGGCCAAAACCACGTTATTAATGACCAGTGCCCGCCCAAATAACGATGTGTGCTTTTTATTCCATTGTTTTAATTTGGCATTTGCTGGTCCTGTCAGCCAGTCATCGTTGGTCACCGGCTTCCCTTTTGCTGTAATAAGGGCTCCCAAAACTCTCAGAGGGTCTTTCACGGGGAGCCATGTGATTCGTGGGTTTTCAGGAGGCCTTCCTCCTTGCTGGTGCATCCACCATCCTACCGTCTTCTGCCCCCAATTTACTACCATATCGGAGAGCCGACAGAACCGGTTCATGAGAGTTTGGATTTCTTTCATGTTACGATCTCTCGCTTCCAACATTATGGTGAGGTCATCAGCAAAAAGTGAATAGATCGGTACTGCCTCCTTTGGGATGTTCGTGATCTTAATGCGAGAGAGGTTCTTGTTATGTCTGAGGTTGGCCGAGAGTGCTTCCATTATTACCAAGAAAAGATAGGGTGCAATAGGATCCCCTTGTCTTACAGACCTCTGAAGCTCGAAGGGGGGCGCTATCGACCCGTTGACCTGCACACAGGTGGTGGCGTTATGATGAAGGATCCTAACCCAACGTCGAAAGACTGGTTCAAAGTTCATTCTTTCCAAGCATTTGTCCAGAAATTCCCAGTCCACGTGGTCATATGCTTTTTCGAAGTCAATGAATATAATGGTCGTGTTTGCTTTATTCCGTTGGGCTAGTTGGACCACCTCATTAACAAGTAAGATTTTTTCTTGTATATTCCTTCCGGTCATGAACCCTGTCTGAGCCGGGTGTATGACATCTTCCAAGACAGATGTCATACGATGTGTCAACGCTTTGGCAACCATCTTATAGACTACTGTGAGTAGAGTGATAGGTCTATAATTCCGAATGTTCATTTTGTCCCCTTTTTTGTATAACAGTGATAGCACCCCTTTACCCACAATTTCGCCCATTTTTCCGACATTCCACACCTCCTGATAATACTCCCATAGGTCCGGACTCAATTCTGGCCTCATGATTTCCCAAAATTCCTTGGGGAATCCGTCTATGCCGGGGGTTTTTTCCTCTTTCATTTGGAGGAGTGTTGTCTATATTTCGTTTTTAGACATGGTTTTCTCGAGCTGTTCTCACTTTTGTGGGGAGAGGTGTCGATCCATTGGTGCTAAGAACTCCTCCAGTTCCCTGTCCCTGTTTTCCTTTTGAGAGGGTGGGATCTGGGATGTATATAGCTGTTTGAAAAAGGTCCTAGTAATTAGTGTGCAGTGTGCTGTGTCAGTAGCTATGATTTCATCGTTGTTTGGGTCAAAAAGGGCTTCTATGACTGTACGTCTAGCCCGTGCTGTGGCCATGGAGAAGAAATGGGTGTCCATGGTAGCTTCCTGAGTAAATTTGGTCATTTTTTCCGGAATTCTAATTCCTTGCCATCTATGTAATGCGTAGTGTAAAAGGCGGTCCTTAATATCTTGGATAGTGGTAGTGAGAGATTGTGAATCTGCCTGTTGTTCCCGGATTGTTAGTTCTTTGTGGGTAGACATCTCTTGTTGTTGTCGTTGGGCTACCTTCAAGTTGGCTTTGGAAAGATCCTTGCATTTTTTTGCTAGGTAGATTAGTCCATTCTTGAACCATGTTAGGTGTGAGTCGAACAGATGTTTTTGTTGACGCCAGAAGTTCCATTCGCCACGGGTCATCTGCGTGAAGGATGAATCTTTAAGAAGAGAGGTGTTTAGCTTATAAAAGTCAGGACCCTGGTCTGACCTTTTTCCTGTTGTCAGTATAATTCCACATGTCTTATGGTCTAGTCCTGGGTGCGGGCTCCGTGGGAGAATTAGCGACCAGCGCAATGCTCCTTCTAGGTCGTTAGAGATAAGGATGAGGTCAATCATAGACTTGGATAGGCGTGCCGGGTCGCTATCCCTTACGCATGTAAAGGAACGCGCCTGAGGATGTAATCGGCGAAAGGAGTCGAAGAGTGAAAGTGTTTCATAGAGTTCGGCTATCATTCGTTCATCTTCCATTGCGGCGAAGGAAGGGGATTCTTGGGCGTTCCATCTGTCTAGGGTCCTGTCGGGGGTAGCATTAAAGTCCCTTGCTATGACTAGGGGGATGCCTTCTGTCACTTGTGTGGCCAGCTTCCCCCGAAATTCTCTTTGTTCGCCAATGGTGCTGGGTGAGTAAATACAAAGTATGCATAGTAGCTCCAGTTCCAGCATACCGAGGACCGATACCCATCGTCCCTCTTCCTCATCTACGACCCAGTGAACTGGCTGAAATCTGGAATCCGGAGGGACCCAGATTGCTACTCCTGCCGAACCTGGTCCGGGTGCATGGGCTCTGAACCCTGTGTGAGGCCAAACCATCGTATGTGCTCTGTTATGCTCGGGGGTGTCTTGTAGGTGGGTTTCCTGGACGCAGGTTACGTCCGGCCATCGTCTGCCTCCTACTCCTCTAAGCTGGTCCCAGATGGTCTGACGCTTTTCAGGTTTGCTTGACGCAAGACCATTTAAATTAATAGATCGTAGATCAAGGTCGGTCGAGTTAACGCATTTCTGCCATGTTGGGTTCTTGCAGTATAGTGTTTCTAAATCATCCATTGTATTCCTTATTTACAGTGCGTGCCATGGTTTGTCGTCTCGTATGTCCAGGAATAGAGTTCTCTTCCTCACCATCTTACACAGACACCTACATATATCATCCTTTGACCAATACTCGTTGGCTTTGACTTTTGCACATTGGAGATCTAGGAGTACATTGTGGTTAAACCAACGTAAGTTGGCTGTCTTGTTGGTTTCAAACCGCAGGAAGAGATCATTGTTGGTCATTTGATAGCCGCTGGATCCAAGCAACCTCACTCTCGCTCTTGCGCCCCGGGCGTAGTGTGAGGGGATAAAGGTGCGCATTTGGTCGGTAAAAACCTTGTCCCCGTCCTCTCCCTCCTTCGGCGAGAATTCCCACCCTTGTAATGTTACGCCCCCGTGTTCCCCTATCGGGGAAAGGCCTATCTCCCATTTCCCATCGATTTTCCTTAGGGGGGCCACCAGAACTCCCCCCTGTTTTGACAGGGGCGTTTCAAAAAGA